ACTCCAAGTAACCAAGCGTCAATCAATATTTATAGTCAGGCAAAAATAGGCTACAGACATTTGATGAATAGGATTAGAATTGTGCACACACATACACTCATATAAAGACAGTCGAGGTTGATAAGTAGACAATTAACAAGGTCGAAACGTGACTCAACAAAAACGGATAAACTGGCCTGTCCAGAAGCTAGGAAAAGATATATGGCCTTAGCATAATAACCGACACTACAATACAAAGGCTCATGTTTCACCCTGAACGTACAAAACGTGATTAAATTACAGAACCTCATAAACATAACACGCGTATAGTCATCTATCAGTTAAGCATAAATTACCTTCACATAAAAGCCGGTTACATGAATTATCACTGACGCCAGTCCATCCAAATTAATCTTCTACACATGATTTCCAAATGTTTGGCTACGAATCTGTTGTGAACAATCAATAGTGTAAGTTGCATTCCTCTCTGTAAATGACTGGTAGATGAAGAACTTATCTTACTGCTATTTCATCGTACTTATACAACATTGTAACAGAAACATAACGATGAAAACTCCTCTGCAGCTTTTATGTTGGACATTACTGTCATTCATCTGTTTCATTTCCCTGTCGTGTATTTTACCCTTTGTTCAGATCTCGTTTAACCACACCTTTTGTCCTTCAGTCTTCCTCTTTTGAGCCTTTATTGTGTGATTCTGATCAAAGACTTATCTTTTGTTTCCTAATTTTCTATTGCATGTTACAGGACTACTGACAGTAAGGTCGTGTTTGACTAAGCTCAAGGTCACGACGTGGTTCAGTGTGTAACCGTTAACCTCCTGATTGTCTGATTGGGAGGATTGCTGGAATCCCTGCGGATAGATATTTGATCCCATCTTGTTGGGAATATTTTTTTGATTCTCAGGTATTGAACCATTTGGTATTAACTGTTTCTTTTATTGTTTAGCGCGCTACTTTGCGTTAGAGAAACTACTGACTGTATAGCAAAGGCTGTACCGTTTGAAGTATTTTGTATTTTTGATGTATTTTGTTCTGTTTTCTAAATTAGAACCGTTTATATTGAGCACATAGTTTGTGTTTTGATATAATATAATGCAAGTATCTCACAAACGCGTCGTGAGCTATACAGAAGAACGTGGTCTGGTGTAATCGAATAAATTTTGGGTTCGTCAGTCCATTGTTCCTACCGAATATTGGTTGTTCGGTCGCTACAAACATACTGTAATTCTCAGCTTGATTAGCTGATTAGCCATGAGGTCTCTAAATTCGTGCTAAGGTAGAAAGAAAGGTCATAATTCGCGCGGTTTACTAATTATGAGATTTTTCAACATTACTTCCATTCTGAATCAATGTGATGATCATTTAGTGTAATATTCGGTTTTCTTTTCTCGTATGATATCTTATTCTGTATAACATATGATATTCTTGTATTTAATTGACACGAACTATGCTCAATATGTGAGTTCTTATAACTGAGTACTTTTTATATGTGATTCCATCCTAATTATTAATTAAAATGGGTGCACAGTCAATATATAAATGAGTGTATTTTCTACTAGAGTTGTCGTCGTCGTCGTCATGTTTTGGGGTTAATAAATCTTCACTTATACCAGTCTTTGTGTTCTTACTTTCGCGTCGTGGGAATTGCAGAGGTCCTCGATTCGAGTAAAGTGATAGGAGTTTTCGACGCTACATTCAGCAACCACCAGATATAACAAGTAGCATTAAACTAACAAGTTAAAACAATTCGCCGCTGTGACTTGTGTGCAATAAATTGAAGAAGAGAAATGAAAACATCTCAAGCAGGTCATATACTTGTCATTTCGTTGTTCTTTGGAAGATTTTTCACTGACGGAAGCTTTAAGCATGGTTGTTATAATGCGTGGATTTATAGTTATATCGACAGGCAAAGAAAATCAATCAGCAGTCAGATGTGAAGAATCTCCTCTGTTCCTGTGGTCATTTATTGGTAATAAGTGTCTGATGTCTAGTTTTCTTGGAATACGGTGAATTGTATATATATCATTCAATATGCACAGGTTAGGATTTTGCCTCCAAGACCACTGATGTATTTTAACATTATGTTTCCAAATAAACGTATTCACTTGAGTGCCCACCGTATACAACATAGTGAGCAATGTTCGTGAACTTAATATCCTATTGACTGCCGTAACTAGGCAGAGTACGTAAATGAAAATCACATAGTTTTAGAGAACGGTAAGGATAATCAAGTTGGTTAAAACACTGACAGCTTTTGTAAAACTACAGAATAAAAGGAAAGTAAAACAAAATTTTTCATGTGCGGTCATGATATTAGAAAACAAACAAACATTTTAGTAAAAGATCTGACTTAATCAACGAGAAGTTGGCACGACACTTGATGCATGCATAACAACGTGAAAATCGTGCGATATGAATTTAAACGCAGTACTCCACATAACAGAAAGAAAACGTTGCTATTCCGAAGATATACTTATGGTTGATCGGATGAGCCTTTTATCTCGAGAGTATTCATGAACATCATTCGAGATGGTTGAGAGGATGCGGAAATGTATTTATATGAAGTCGTATTGTTAAACAAATTGTAAACACGAATCATTCTACCAAAAAAAACAAATTGTTCATAGTCATGTTCACAGCGTAACACAGTGAGCCTCGCTTTCGTACTTCCGCTGAAACCTTTGCTATGGCTAAACAAAAAAAGAAAAAGGTGTACAAAAAATTAATTCGAACATTAATTCAATTTCAAATGCATTGGATTATCTCATTGGTGATAAATTTTACTGAAACTTGATCAGTCTTGGTTGGCATATGTGCATCCTGTTTTTGATCGCTTCGATGTATACGCGTGTACTCGTGATTCGCTCTTTCTCATAAAATATTTTTTAAAGACCTGCGAAATTATTCACTAGCTTAGACGGCACCATCTTCGTTATTCCTATCTTCAAACTACATGTAACGGAAAGAAAACTCTGAAAATCCCCCCACAGCATATTTGTGGACAGTACTGCTATTTATTTTTTTCTCCCTGTCGTGTATTTTAGCCTTTATTCAGATCTCTTCTAACCACACTCTGTGTTCTTCAGTCTCCCTGGTCTGAGGTTTTGTTGTGTGACTTTCGTTAAAGACCTACCTTGTGTTACCTAATTTCTCTGTCTTATGTTGCCGAGCCATTGACAATAAGGTCGTGTTTGACTGAGCCCAAAGTCGCGGGGTGGTTCAGCGGTATGACTTTTAACCCTTTGCTGTTTGCTTGGAACGATTCCTGGATTCCCTAAATTTAGACATCTGATCCCATCTTGTTGGGAATATCGTTATTGATTCTCAGGTTTCAACTCTTGTTTGTTAACTATTATTTTAGTTATAAACAGAGGTGGACAGCGGCCAGCAGTGGAATCCAGGACACGCATTTCGTCCTATTTGGGACTCGTCAGCTGGGTGTACCCGCATCTCAGAATTCACGTTCACCTTGGGACTCCAAGTCAGTACCGTTAGCGTCAAACGTTATCGCGTTTACCACTCAGCTATTGAGTCCTGACGGACACATAATTGTGCAGTGAAGTGAAGTTTAGGACTACAATTGATCACTATCATATTGTCATATGTGCGGGCTGTACGTATTGCATCGATATTGCCTTAATTGGGTTACAGTCCCAGGGTGAACATGAACTCTGAGATGCAGGTACATCCAGCTGACGAGTCAAAAATAGGACGAAAAGCGCGTCCTGGGTTCCACTACTAACAACTATCCATCTTTGCCCGTAGTGCTTGTGAACGCACAGTACGCTCATATGTCAATAAGAGACTGATCAATTGCAGTCCAAAACATCAAGGGGATGATTCAAGTAAACAATACCAAGTGAATTTTATTCTTTTTGTTGTTTGAGACTCAAGTTTGTGTTAGAAAAACATTTGACCGTATGGCACATCTGTATCGTCCAAAGTATTCTGTACTTTTGATACAATTTATTCCATTTCTTAAATTAGAACGGTTTAAATTGAACACAGAGTTTGTGTTTTGATAAGATTTATTTCGAGTAATTCAAAAACGCTTTGTACGCTGTACAGAAGAACGTAGTCTGGTATAATGGAATAAATTTTGGTTCGTTAGTCCAGTGTTCGAAAGGAATATTGTCATTTCGGTCGTTACACCTCTCATAAACATGGCTGCTAGTACATATAAGGCAGTAATTGACGCAACCTCACGAATTCTTAGCTGATTAATATGTTGGTCTATTATTCAGTTATAACCCAGCAGCAGCCAACAAAATACAACTCCATACATAGGTCACAGTTGTAGTGTTACTTAAAAATAAAGAAACTTTCGTGTTGGACTCCAAATTAAGTTGTGGACTTCTTTTCCAACGGGAATAGGCAGGATAGAGCACAAATAGTGCTAGCGAGTTCCATCAGACTTGAAAATACAAACTGCGAAATAATGATCTTTTCGGGCGAACCACAAATTGTAGCAACTACGATCGAATTCCGAGAGTTGAGTTCTCATATTCATAAATCTTTCTATTTCTAATGGCGAAAAAATACATTTATGTTCTAGGCTTTCGCTCTGAATGGTTCTGATATGTGCTGCATGACCATCGTATTCTTAAACTATAACCGTAGTCAAATAATTATTCCAACACAAACAATGTGCTACACAAACATGTATAAATATATTTATATACAAGATTTATATTGAAGACAATCAGAAGTTTTACAACAAAAAATAACGATGTCCCACACCAAAAGCAGATTCTAGTTGGTATTACCCAGTAGATCAAATATGTTATACCACAATTTATTTCAACTTTCTTAGAATGAAGAGGTTAAATTGAACGTTCACCTTGTAAAAATCAAATATGAACTGTGAACAAACACCAGCGTGATTACTTTTAATGACTGTAATAAACACTAAGCAACGTAACGCTAGTCGCTAAAAAAGTATGTCTCTTTTTCGAATCATATAATTTGATTTGCATTCTTCATAATCAAACCTAAGTTTTGATTATCTGCTATTGAGTATTGATCGGGTGAGGCAAATTTATCAGGTGCGCTGCACTTACTTGCGCATCCGCCATAACGTCTATTCTGAAAGGCAAAACTGACAAGTAAGCACTGGAAGTTTGAGTTAATAATACTTTGTGTACACGATCATTGAGGGATACAATTAGACACAGCAAACACGATCAGTTTATCGCGATTTGCAACAAACGACCAGTTAACCTTCGATTGGACACCTAGTGACTTCCACGCACTAGATACAACTCTCTACACCAAGAACTTAAATCAAAGATCGCTTCATAATCTTGTCGTCGAACCAAGCCTACCTTCAGGATGCTGTTGCTAACCAAGAGCAGATTTTCGGTGTTATAACCAGCTTTAACTGGTTGTTACTCCGATCTCAGTCCAACTGATTGCTTACTATGCTTGATTATATCTTTCAATCATTGCATGCGTTATGCATTCCTTGTTGCGAATTGCTCTTGTCGGTATACCATCAAAAGTTTTATGGATATTCCGTAAGGCTACCAGGATGCAAAAGTTAACTATGCAATGCGAACCTATTCCTAGTCCTAAATAAGGGACTAAGGCACTTGAACAGTGCTTTTTTATAAGGAGTAAATATATCGTGGTTTAAACAATCTACATATCTTGTTAACGCTGGTTGCTATATGTTGCTTTCCTTAATAAATGTGAGTGCATTGTTTCCGCTTACCGGGTCCTCAGATTTACTTCTTTCTTCTATTTTCCAGCTCTCTTCACGCTACTCTGCATTCTCGCCTAGTACGCAAAAAAATTCTGACTAGTGAATCGCTAAAAAATGCAGTCCGGTTGTGCCAAGCTTGCAGATCCTATTGATCTAGAGTATTTCCTACCACAGAACAAAATGGAGGTATTTTCGTATATTAAGTCTAACCGTTCCAGAAGAAAGTAGAAAAGTGTCCTCCAGATATATGTAAGCTATACTAGTTTTACTAACAACACATAGTTTTCAGTTTGGAAACCAATCCTATTACTGATGGTTCCGCATACATTGAAGTAGGTGAAATTAAAGTTTCCTGTTCCGTCAATGGTCCTACTGAGGTATAATAATCACGTATTCCAAGGAGTTAATCTGATTCTGATGTAGATGCGCCAAGACAGCCAGTTAGTTGCAGTGCTTAAGTTTGCACCATTCTTGTCCTGGTTACCGAAAGATGTTCAAACGTCTATTGAAAAAAAGCTTAGTCGACTTCTTCTTAGCGCTATAGAACCTTCTGTCATGCTTGTAGGTCTAAACCGAAATTATTTGATTTGGTTTCATGGTTCTTTCCACTTTCGTTTTATTACTTTGTGTGTAGAAGAATACTTATGAAGTGTATTACACGATTGGAAATAATAATCTTATTCGTGTGGTAGCCAAAGTCTTTTTATATACTATCGGACGACCGGACACGTCTGAACTGATGAGCATTGTCTCGAAGTAACATACTTCCATGGTTTTTGCATAATCCCTTTTTACAAACAATTGAGTTGCCACCTTCCTATACAGATTTAGGTTTCGCTGATTTAAACCATCCTATTCACGTCGGTTGACATCAATACGCCTTCGTACAACCGAAAATGAAAAGAGCTTAGCATTTTATCAGAAATGCTATTACATGATCATGTGTTTCACAACCTTTTTTGAGCGAAGTAATCGTAAAGGCTTTTATGCACCCGGTGTTCTACAAAAATCAATATCCACCTTTCAAATAGGCCTGGTATATACGGAGTTCACTTTCGCGAAGTTGTAAAGCCCTGACCGCAATTTACTTATTCACATAGTGTCATCGTGAAGTAAGCGTAACAAAAACCCTGATCTACATAACAGTGGGTAAACACCGGTCTATAGATGTTACGATGTGGTTTCTTGGGAAACCCAATCACCTATACCAACTCCCAATAAACTTGTTTTGGAAGACTATTACTGTCCAACAAATCTAGTCCTTTTATTACTTGAATATCATACGTTTTTACAAAATATTGACGCATTACCAAAATATGAACTGAAGCTATTAATGACGTTAGCTTTTATAGATAAATTGCTGACTAATATAAGGAACAGCCCCATCATCCGAATTATCACCCTTGACCTCGTAAAAGTTTCAGGATCCTAGAGTAATTCATAACAAATAAATCTGCTCTGGCAACCGGCTGAATACATTTTTCGACGTTAATCTATTACCTTGTATCAAACATTTTTGTCAATAACTACATGAATTGCTCAGTGGCCCGAGTATTATTACATCCACCATTATGAGTGAAAAAAGGTGTAATTAATCCCCTTTTTTATTAGCTCTCAAATGGCAACAGTTTCATTATAAATAATTTCATTTTATGTCTTAATACATTTTAGACCGTTTTATTCCCATGTAGTTTAATGTGAAACTTCTTAGCTTAACACTGACAAGACTCATGTTTTCGCGTAACAGTTCTTAACTCTTAGATTATATCTAAAAAAGCTACCAATGACTATAATTCCAATACAACTATCTTTTTAATATAACTTATGTGGTTTGGACTATTTCTCATTGATATTCATATTATGATGCGGATCAGACTGGTCTTATATCTAGTGGTTGGAAAATCTGCCTTTCAACCTGTAGGTAGCAGGTTTACATCTCTCTCTACCTACATTGTCTTCGAAAACCAATTAGTATCACCAACCTACACTCAAACAATGGAAATCAAAGCCAAGAACATTAATGCGTACTCGGTAAATAAGTGAAAATAGAATAAAAACTCACTACTGGTTATCATATTTTAAAAATCCATATTAAAGATGGAACTAAAGTGTTACAGTACATTATCTACTTAGTTACTGAGCTGGGATAACTTGAATAACTTCAAAGCTGTCTAGTGTCAGTTGTTCTTGTCCTCTGTATAAACGGAAAATAAGTCTAAATAGTTTCCGTGTACTTTGACGCTGTAATCAAGTGTCTGTTAATCAACTACATGAACCACAAATCCTAGCTTCTCTCTTAAGCTAGTTTATCATTGTTTCTGGTTATCTTTCATTGTTACCCAACAAATCAGTCTTGTCTTTCATCTATTCTTTTTACTGTCTTTTTCCTAACATATATTAAGTGTGCTTTTTGGAAGCGATTGACCGCAGTTATTAAACACGCAATTTTAAAACTCAGTAATATGGCCATATTTTAAAATTCTCGGTATTTCCTTACATACTAACATTCACGTTTGAATAGTTTATTTTGTATGCAAGTCAGTTTCGAGTAATAATATATGTATGATATTACAGCGAAGAGTGCAAAATATGGTCAGTACAACATTAAAAGTATCACTCAGACATTTTCAACATATAGCATGATATAAATGTACATTAGCCTAGCTTACCACACTCCATCAGCACAGCAGAATAAAATTAAAAATATCTTTCACGAAGAAATGGAAAAAATTAGTAATTCCATTGATGGTATAAAAGAGCACACATTGAAGAATTTGGCTCGGTAAAAGAAAGATGAGTAAAACTCAAAATCTAGGAGAAGTTAAAAAAAACGATCTGCCACATAGGTAGGAGTATCATTTTTCACGTTTGAGCAGTTTCTACTTGCTGATGTGGTTACGAATGATTAAGTAATTTGAGTTGAGTCATAAAAACAAAGTTTGCTTTGTTGTCTAAATAATAAAAAGTCTAACTTTTTGAGATCTTCGGTAATATGGTTCGAAACCAATCATTGAAGTTCAGTTGGTTCCACCAAATCTCGATCTTTTTCTTAATATTTTGTGTTTTTGGTTGCTTCATTTAATTTTTCCTTGGTGTTTTTTGCCACTTTTCAATTTACTTTCCGTCTATTCATTTTCATTATGAAAGCACCAATTTCCAAGAGGTAAATATGAAATAGTGACGAACATCCTGGATATACCTTCACATAATTCCAGTGGACTAATAGGAAACTGTTTAGCTGCTGCCATTACATGTGCAGGTTTAGCTTTGCTAAACTCAGGTGTTCAGATGTATGATCTTCTAGTAGGATTAAATTTGGATCTCTCTGCTCTCGGTAATGAAAATGGACACCTTTGTGTTGCTGTTTTACCTCGTCTTCGTCAGTTTTCTATGCTTTATGCAGTGGATTCATGCATGCCTAACACCGAGTTTCTCAAAAATTGTTTAAATCACGCTATGGACAATTGTATTAAACTTGCAGATGTGATTCGAAGCCATCTCTGCGGACAGCTTAAAACTAAAATAAAATAAGTATTTACGGTTTCTTTGTTTTGCTAATATTTGATGTCAAATGCAGAACCTCAGAAAATAAGGCTTCCACTATCACCTGTAGGTTGTATGACAATAGTCAGGCTTCTCTTTAGGATTGTTTCTTCTCAGTGTTATCATATCAGTAACTTGTAAGTATTAAGAAAATTCGCAGTTTTCGTAGTTTCAAACATTTCTTCACTTATATTCGCAAATATATCCCAATCCTCTAAATAACTGTCAAGGGATCAAAAATCAGTCGAAGTGTAAGTTTTGGCGTTCACGTACACAAAAAATGTAATTGACTTAGTACAGATTCATTTTCTCAAAGCTCCTCTGTGCATGGGAGCTAGCGATACGATCCGGTTGCCTAAATCAGAGGTGAAACGTGGCCTGAAAGTCAAATGCCTTATTAACTGGAGTACACGTGTTTACAACAAACAGGGCCACAGCGTAACTGCAATTGGCCTAATGCAATTAGGTTTGTATTAAGAACTATAGTCAGGAGGTTGTGTTGGTGAATTTTTCATATTAACCAATCTGGTGATAATATTTTCATTGACAGACAGGCAATACTAAGGTAACTTACCAAACATTAGAAACAAAGGATAGCTCTTGCATTTGATGCTATAATTGTGTAAGTGTAGATTCTCATAGTCTATTATGGAATACAAGTTGGCGACTTACAGTCAGTCAGTCAGTAACAACGTAGAACTTCGTACGTACGCACATCAGTTCGAGTTGCCACACCACATAAGCACAGAGATGCAGTTGTCGATTCAAATCCCGTAGTGGTAGAGGTAATAAGAGTATAAGCAGTAATCGGGAAGATTAGGGTTTGGAGATGTTATTTAAAGAGTATAATCCAGTGAAATAAATTTGGAAAGAGGAAAAAAGGGACATGAAGAATTCAGAAGATTAGAATTTGGGAGAACACAGAGAGTGGATGCACCTGCGCCATTGCAAACGATTTTGAGGCATGTCACTCAGGGTCTCTAACCATCGGTTGCTGTCATCTCGCGGTCCCCAACCAGGTAGTCTACACCTACCAACATGACTCAGTTCACTTGTCAGTGACTTCATGGACTTGTGCCATGTTTTGGTTTGGCCGCCCCTAGCTTTCTTCCAACCTACTCCTATACCACTGAACATAGCACGTCGAGGCAGTCGGTCGTTGGACATACGTAACACGTGTCCCAGCCACCTCAACTGATAAAGTTTCACTACTTCATCAATTGATTTGCCATCCTTACCTAGTACCCGTTTCCTAACAACTGTGTTACTTACTCGATGGTCCCAGGATATACGAGCAATGTTTCGAAGACACCTATGATCGAATACTAGTAGACTACGTATATCCTCTACTCTTACCGGCCATGTTTCACTGCCATAAAGAAGGACGGAACGAACTGCTGCGCAGTAAACCCGTCCTTTGGTTGATAGACGGATATCTCGCCTACGCCATAAATGACGCAAGTTGGCAAAAGCTAGTCGAGCCTTCTGTATCCGTGCTGAGATTTCGTCACACCCCAGACCACAAGGGCTGATGAGACTTCCAAGATAAGTGAAGCAGTCGACACACTCAACTACTTCACTCCCTATCACTAGTTCGGGTGTCGATGTAACCCAATCCTGAAGCAACATTTTGCATTTCGAGGGAGAGAATCTCATCCAGAACACGCTTGCAATGTTGCCTAGGGTGATTAGAAGACTGGGAATCTAATCAGCGTCTTCACCAAATGGAACTATGTCAACGGCATATTCTAAGTCAACAAGTGAACCTCCCGGTAGAAGTTCAACTCCTGGAAATTTAGATGAGGAGAGTGTTATCTCTAAAAGTACGTCAATGACAAAGTTGAACAAGAATGGGGAGAGTGGACAGCCCTGACGAACACCACTTGAGGTAATCAATTCTGATGACAGTTCGCCATAAGCTCTCATTCTACCAGTTGTGTTCGAGTAGAGAGCCTTTATAAGGTTAATGTACTTCTTTGGTACTCCTTTCAGTGACAAACACTGCCATAGAACCTCACGATCAACAGAGTCGAATGCCGCCTTAAGGTCAAGAAATACTACCATTGTGGGGCGTCTGAATGTGTGTCTGTGTTCTAGAACCTGACGTAGTGTGAATATTTGATCTATACAACCACGTCCAGGTCGAAAACCAGCCTGGTTTTCTCTAGTCTGCTCTTCACGAGCTTTAGTTAGGCGTCGAAGTATGATTGAGGCTAATATTTTAGACACTATATTAGTCAAACTAATTCCTCTGTGATTGTCACAAGAGGACTTTTGTCCTTTCTTATAGACTGGCACAATCAGTGATTGAGACCACTCAGATGGGATTACGTCCAGTTCCCAAATTCTACCTAAGACCTCGGTTAATCTCATTGCTAATACTGGACCACCATCCTTAAAAATCTCAGGAGTAAACCTGTCAGGACCTGCTGCTCTCCCTCGTTTCAGATTTCCTATGGCTTTTTCAACTTCGTAAAGGGACGGAGGACCTACATTAATTTGCCATTCATGTTGACTGGAGATCATTAGAAACCGAAATGTGGCTGAAGGCCAGTTGAACTGATCCCTAAAGTGTTCTGCCCATCGATCCAATCTCCTGGATTGAGGATGAATAATATGTCCATCATTCTCCGAGATTGTTTCGCTAACGGTCGGGTTCCTAATTCCGGTTTCCTTAACGAGTCTAAACAGTTGTCTGCTATTACCTATTGCCGCTGCCTTTTCCATCTCTCTTGCTTTCGCTACCCACCACTGTTCGCGATCCTTGCGTAGACTTTTTGTCAGCTTGCACTTAAGCTGACTCCGCTCTTCATTATGTTCAGAGCCAGGTGGAATGTGTTTCCGAGCATTTATCAGTGCGATAGATGCTGCTGAGATCCAGTGTTGCTCCCTAACCTTCTGGTTTACCTTACTAGCAGATATCACTGCTGTTTCCACAGCTTTTCGGATATCATTCCATGCTGCCTCAGGGTGGGCATCACATACATGGCTGTCTAACTGTTTTCCTAGTTGTTCCTGAAATATACTCTTAGCTTGACTATCATTAAGTAGGGCCCTAAGAGGTTTCCTTGCAGCGTCTTTCCTACGTCCAGTAAGACGCAAGCAAACGCGCGCTCGCACTAGAGCATGATCTGTATCTAAGCATGTGCTCCAGAACGAGCGACCGTCTTCTATCGAGCCCCTCCATCGGTGGCTGATAGCGATGTGATCTATTTGGGTCCAACGTTGGGACGAATTAGGGGGTCGCCATGTTAAAAGATGTTTATCCTTATGCTTAAAGTTAGTATTTGCAAGGAACAGGCGGTTATCTGAGCATAGCTGCAACAGACGGTCGCCATTATCTGTTCTTTGAGCCACGACACCATAGGATCCACCTAGGTGTCTTTCCTTATCGCTTAGTTTACCTACTTGAGCATTAAAGTCACCGGCCACTATTACTACATCCGAGCGCTTAGCTTTTCGGAGAAGGTCCGAAAGCTTTCTGTAAAACTCATCTTTTACATCATCTGAGCTGCAGTCAGTGGGAGAATAGGCAGAGACGACGAAGAGGCAACGACGAGTGTCCCTATCTTTCCGGATTCTCACTGTTCCGTTCAGTCGGACAGCGCACAAACGACTGTCTACTGGGATCCACTCTAAGAGAGCTAGTTCTGCCCTAGGACTCAATGCTATACCTACGCCGGCGAGGCCACGGGAAGCACAATCAGGGCTTCCAGATACACGAAGCGTAAATCGAGTCGGTTCTTTATTTTGGCATGGTGAGGTCAAATGAATGACGCTACTTGGATCCTGTATGCGCGTTTCGGAGACGCAGCACACATCGATGGCGCGAGATTCTAAAGTCCTAGCTAAGGAATCCTGCTGTCCTATTTGGCAAAGTGTTCGTACGTTAAAAGCTCCTACGTGTAGTTTAGAGCGTGGTTTCAGGAGACCAGGAATAGCGTTCCACGTACTCGAATCGTTTGCTCTAGCGGTGCGAGGTGATAAAGAGACGTGAGGAGGGTTAGTCATGGAGATAAGAGAGGTATTAGGAGGTGTAGGAAGGATTTGAATGTGACCACCTTGGTCTCGTGTGCTGTTACGGGTATGAGGGCTGATGTCACTTCCCGGCTGCCCACACCGTGGAAGGGTATTTCTTGAGGAACCTGAAAAGGAAATTGGATTAGTGTTGGTCTTGACGACCTGGGAGCGTGACCGCAGAGCCCAAGGGACAACTGCTTGAGGCCGGTCGCGCACGGCCTTTTTGTGGAAGGTTTTTGACGTGTTAGCTCCGTTCTTCAAGGGGCCTTACCGCCGGAGACGGAAATCCGTGAGGTAAGGTGAGGTGTGCATTTTTAGGGTCGACCTTTTCTAACCCCACCCCTCCTTGTGGGAAGGCAGCATCGCTGTCATGCTGGTTGTCCGAGGGAAACACCTTACTGCTGTCACACCTCTCTACAGTCAGCAGTACGACTTCGCCCTCAGACCTTGAGTTGCTGCTTTTAGTCTTACCGTTCGCCAATCGACCTGCCTGGCATGGTAGAACCTGCAGGAACATATGTTCCAGCCAATATAGCTCGGTTAGGTCATCACGATAGGCAAGCCGGACCACCGCGTCAAGGTAGCAGCTTCGATCGAGAATGCCCACATACATACTACGGCTAAATGAGGGTTATAAGTCTATGTAAAGAATTAGGATTAGTAGCTACAGTTGATAATCAGGGTTAGGAATTAGATTTATTGTTTTCATTACGAACTAACATCAGCTATAATACCAAAACACTAGCAAAATGAATTGACTTCGTGCCAAGATTTAAGACCTGTTATCGTATATCTGATTGGCTCGTTCGCAAATTAGTCTCACCACAAAAGTGGTCTGTTTTCACCAAGAGGCAAAGCTTAGTGAACGGGTAACTACGTTTGAACGGACAAAATGGTTGGAGTAGTTAGTGGCAATACAGACAGCCAACCCAGTAACAAACTGCGTAGCCATATTTATCTGGCAGTTCTGAAGTTTCTGAGCTTATGTGTATTACGTCGACACACATAATTTCTTGATTAATCTAAAACTTATACCATAGTAGTTATCAATATCAAAATCACATTTACATAACAGAAACAACTTACGTCTTAGACGCTTGTCAAGGTATTTTTTCAACTCGGGATCTCCGATCTTCATTATCTTCAGAGCCAGGTGGAATGAGTTTCCGAGCATTTATCAGTGCGATAGATGCTGCTGAGATCCAGTGTTGCTCCCTAACCTTCTGGTTTACCTTACTAGCAGATATCACTGCTGTTTCCACAGCTTTTCGGATATCATTCCATACTGCCTCAGGGTGGGCATCACATACATGGCTGTCTAACTGTTTTCCTAGTTGTTCCTGAAATATACTCTTAGCTTGACTATCATTAAGTAGGGCCCTAAGAGGTTTCCTTGCAGCGTCTTTCCTACGTCCAGTAAGACGCAAGCAAACGCGCGCTCGCACTAGAGCATGATCTGCATCTAAGCATGTGCTCCAGAACGAGCGACCGTCTTCTATCGAGCCCCTCCATCGGTGGCTGATAGCGATGTGATCTATTTGGGTCCAACGTTGGGACGAATTAGGGGGTCGCCATGTTAAAAGATGTTTATCCTTATGCTTAAAGTTAGTATTTGCAAGGAACAGGCGGTTATCTGAGCATAGCTGCAACAGACGGTCGCCATTATCTGTTCTTTGAGCCACGACACCATAGGATCCACCTAGGTGTCTTTCCTTATCGCTTAGTTTACCTACTTGAGCATTAAAGTCACCGGCCACTATTACTACATCCGAGCGCTTAGCTTTTCGGAGAAGGTCCGAAAGCTTTCTGTAAAACTCATCTTTT